ATACTCGTCTCGGGTAAAATGACGCGTTTTATGCACTTGTTGTACAATCTACTTATACATGATTAAGTCCCGAATTAAAAATAAATAAATAATAATACCTATCTTTATATAATAATGCAGTATTACAAAATACTACAATTTCGAACTAAGCATTCAGCGACGACCGAAGCATGTGAAAATGTAGTGTAAATAAAGCAGTATATAAAAAAATTGCCTTAAGGAAATGGATGGTTTGTGCTGTTGCTCTGCTCGAAGCTGTCTTAATTAGATAGATTCCAGTAAAAAATTTGTTCAAAATCATATTATTCAGCAATAGTACTCGGTATTAAAATATAATATTTTTAAAACATAGTGCAGACAGAGCCTAGTGTGGGAACAGCAATACATGTAAATGTTAAAATATGTACCGTTAATTTAGCACAAGCTTGTTTCTAGAATGGAGCTATATTCCTTATTATTTGTGTATGTAATGCCAAATAAACATAAATTATTTTTTTATCTATGGTACTCGCTACCGAACTGAAAAGTTTCATTATAGTTCTGTACACAGTACGTTCATGACTATTATAGTTCTGTACACCGAACTATATAATGCGTTTCAAAAAAAGAAAATCGTATTTTTGCTAATTAAAATATCAAATATGATGCTACTCAAACGCTCTACTGCCTCTTGTTAGTTAAATTTGGCTAAACATCTTGCCATAAGACTTTAATTTAAAAAAATATTGGTTAAAATAATATAAGCGGCACTTGACCAATTGTAATCTATCTCTTTGGTTTTTTGTTGTCTAAATATATGAAGAGGCTGTATGGTGGAACCATAGAACCTTTGCATACCCAAATAAATGGCTTGAAATACATATAAAAAAAATTGTGTTTGCCGTCATGGGTTGTTAACAAAATATACTTTAAATATTGGTTGTGTCCTTCTTTATTTTATTTATTCGTAGAAAAAGCATTATATGCAATCATTTCATAATTAGGTCTTAAAATCTCGTACATATTACTTATGCCACTCGGCATAAAATACTAATTACTAACTATACGGAGTGTCACAAAAATTTTCAGCCATAATTCCGCTACGAACATAATGATAAAATGAACATATTCAGCGAATTATTTTTCGAGTAGAATGAAATTAATTTTGATTCATTTATTTATTTATTTGATGCACAAAACAGTTTACATTCAATGGTACTCCAATAAATGTTACAATTTATGGTTTTAATCAGGATGTAAACCTAACATATGTACATACAGCATGATCATTCAGCTCGTAAACATTACTATTAAAAAGTAAGCAAACAGTTTCTTAAACATGTGAATATAGATAAAAATCAAATGATATATAAAAGCTGAAAAACTAGTGGAAATATAAATTATCATTAAAAAAGTAGATTCGCGGTGAGAATTATATTTGTGGATTTTAAACTATAGAGTAGTAGTAGCTCAGTGGGAAAACGATAGACTTTCATTTGAGAGGTTGACGTTATGAATCAATTAATTTTTCTTTTTAGTAAAAAGAGACCCATTTCCAGCAGCAGCACGTGTAGTATGATTATGATTTGTGTTGTGTGAGGTTCATTATGACGTTGAATTTAAAACAAGTGTTTTGTCGATTTAAAACTAAGTCGTAATCTCCAAACGTAGACACGTCGCATTAAGAGCGAGTAATCATCTACAGTTACTCACGCGCGCGACTTAAAGCAGCGATGCAAACGCGACTCAAACGCGATGCGAACGCGATACAAACGAGATGACGTTTTAAATTAATTAACAAACGTATTTTTTTAATGTATTTTATTTATTAATTTCGCTTTTAAATTTACAGTATACAACAAAAACAATGTGCATAATCCTATACAGATATTTCGTACATAGTGATTCAATACATATAAGAGACCGTATGCAATGCAATTGCGCGTTTGTATGCGATGCAATCGCGCGTTTGAATCGATGCAATCGCGCGTTTGTACCGATGCAGTCGCGCGTTTGTGAAACGCGCGTCTGCTCAATGTCGCCGAGTGTAACCACTCTAACACGTAGTCTGTTAGTTACTCAAGATTATTTGAGCAAATGTAACATAAATTAAATATTACTTTGACAAAAGAATTGAAGCAGACAATAGGATTGAAAATTAGGGTAAATTTCATTAATTTTTATATTAAATTTTGATATATATTTTTAAATCTTAATTATTTTAATAAGTTCTAATTAATGCAAATCTCGCAATAAAACTGTACATGTCAAATAATAGTTATAATACATGTTCTTGTTAACACCCAGTCATGCAAGGACGTTTGCTAAAGGATAATTTAATTTTATTAACAAAAAAAACATCGTAAACGCTTAAAAATATTAATAATAAAATTATAATAATGATGATGTTAAGCAACATTTACGACTATTTTGAAGTATGTTTATTTATTTTTTTAATAATAAGAACTCAAGAATATATTGCTGTTGTATACAAGGTGAAATTTTCAATTTTTTTTATGCGCAATAGCGAAAATGCTGGAAGGAGTCTTGTGATCCATTTTGATGAAACTGAAACAGCAATTTTGCAAAAAAAAAGACAACTGTACCAAATTCTGGAAAATAACGTACGACAATTAAACTGAACTTAATTATATTTATTTCTATTTATATTTATTTCCTTTGGTTCCACACATTGGCAGTATTGGAGTGAGGGTACACTCTGTTGCTTAATTACAGTAATTTAGCATAATAAATTGTGAAAAGTTCTTTGGTAAAGAAAGCATTACTTAATAAGATCGATGCGGATACCTTATGTTATGAAGAAATTAAAACAAAGTGGTTCAAATTTATTATTTTGTTTTCTGACACTTGACTAAAGCAACTCTATCGTGTTAAAAATTAAATAATAAATAAAATACCGTAAGCATTTTGACGAAAACGAATAAAATTTTACAATTTTATTTCAACATTTCATGCTAAAAACGTAAACAAGTACATTTAACTTTTTTACCAATTAGATATTTAGAATAAAATAAAATTATTTACAGCCATAATGACTGTACCTCGAAAAACATGATATTTGTAGTAAAAAAACTAATAAACTCGTTATGCCTCTGCAACAGCCAACACATTATTATTGGTGAGATGTAATTACCAAACAGTTAATGCGACTAACAGTGATTTGATACGATTATTGTTCGAATTTGTGGTCATTATTTTCAATACACAGCTATTATATTCGACTCGTCTTAGTAAATGCACAACATTCTATAAAATAATAATGTGATGGATTCTAGCCAAAATTTTTTTTCTTGGCTTTTTACGCTTACCGTTTCAGCCACTTAAAAGGTATGTGAGTTGTTTTTAAAACAGGGAAACTTATAATAACATAATAATGAAATTTGGAAACAGGATTATTTGAGAAAGAGTGAAAAGAGGGTCAGGCGAGGGACTACGAGACATAAATAAACAATAGTATAAATGTATTTATTGTGATGAATAAAATTGAAATATTTTTTTTAAATGCTGATACACTTAGTTTCTTATAATAATGATTTTACTGTATTGTAGGAAAATAATTGGGACAGCAGAAGTTGGTCAAATTTAACAAAATGAATACATTTTGTATGAAAAAAACTTTTTATGAGATTTGACCAACTTCAGCTGTCTCGATTGTTTTCGTTCCACACAATGAAATGATCCCTTAATGAAACTGAGTCGATTAGCACTATAAAAATATTTATCAAGCTTATTAATTTTTATGGACAACTCACGCTTGACCAAAAAACTGACTATGCCAAAATTGTTTTCACAAAAAAGACTTAATGGTTCCCAAGACGTTTCGTTGTATCTTCTATGGTTTCGGATTTTCCGATACTGTCCCATTTAAAAAAAATAACTCTGTATATAGCGCATACTTTACATGAAGTACAAAAAACATTATTTTAACAAAAAAATTCTTAAGCTTTTTGTTATCATTACTTTCATATATAAAAGGAGTACTAAGCCACTAATCTGTTTTGATCCTTTGTTAAAAAAAATTTTTTTTAATAAAAATTTTGTTATCTGTTCGATGGCCAGCTTCAGTATAGAAGGGCTTTTATGTCCCCAGGCGAGTTATTTCAACGCGAGCCTAGATTTCAAGAGGTGACGTATGGGGGTCGCCTCTCGTGTCCCGCAATCCGCGCACTGTAAATTAACATAAATAAAAAGAACAAACTGAGAAAATTTGACAGAGATCCGACGTCGACAAGCGCCCGGTGGCAACTGCCAGGGCAAAGGGCGGCTCAACGTATCGTTAAACTGCTGAGCAATTTGAAAATTTTGGGAAATGTGTGAATTTAATAACTAATAGGGCTTCAGTTGAAAACCAAAATTGAGCAGGTTCTCTATAGTACTTAAAGATATGTCTCCACATAATAATAATATAAAAATTATGTACATAGTTAGATATTTTATTCTTAAATAATTCGTATTTTAGCCTGTTCTCAGGATTTTATATTATGATCAGATAAAGTACATCCTATCCTATCCTTTAACAAGTTAGCACGTTCTTTAGACAATACCTTTAGATGTACAGTATATTTTGTTAAGATCGTTACTTAATAGTAATTACCTAAACCTCTAGATGTAGCAAAATATTTTTTCCCGCTTATCTCCTCCGATGACTCGCCTTAAATGACCATGCATAATATTAAAATATCATCAATGACTACTACGCAACCGTGTATACGAGTAGGTTAAGGTAAAGGTTAAGAATATTAGTGCCTTAAAATATATGTGTATGAGAATATCCGGTTATCATCGCAACTTTTAAACAGCATCATGTCACTTAATAGGCATATGAAGTTGTAGTATACATTGGACAATTTTATAAACTGCAGATCTGATATTTAAGTCTTGTTAAAGACTGGTACATACGAGAAGAGATTAATTTCATATTGTTGAATATACTTTTGTAAATGATTAACTTACAGTGAGTATGCTAAATTGTTCAGTTTCAATTTCATACGAATAATTATATGTTTCTTCGGAGTTAAAAACGAATTCATTTATATGATTATGCTTATTATTCTTTAACAATATTCTTATTAAGAAGTTATCGTTAACATTCCTATGTAAATATTGTTAGTAGGTCCTCTCATTTAATTTACAAATTTGTTTGAATGTTACAACACGTAAACAAACATGAAAATGTCTATTGCTTTATTTGTTCACAGTATAAAAGTATAAAAATTTCATCACAATTGTTTATGAGTATTTAGTACCAGCTTTGTTTCACTGGGAATTTTGCTCTGGCTGCGGAGGCGCTGTAGCGAGGTATGCAAGCGCCTTTTGAATGGGCTCGGGCACTGGCGGCGCTGTCGGCAAGTGCGCACCTTGTGGCTGGTAACCATTCTCATCGGCGACGTATGTCAATTGAATGTTTCCATTTTCACCAGGGTATTGGAACTGGCCGGACACCTCTATAGCCTCCACATCTCCAACTTTCTTCAGGTCACCTTTTTGATCGGCGCTGATTCCATTGCCAGTCTCGAATGAATACTGATACGACCCGTCGCCATTGACCTGGCTGTCTTGCCGAACTATAGGGACGGTCTCAGTTGGAGCTTGACCTTGAGGAGCAGCGAAAGCCGCCGCGATCAGCATGCACACCAATACCTGTAGAAGAAAAAAAATCGTTATGGTTATCGCAAAGGAAACGCATTGATCTAATTTATTACTGACTGCATTTAAATATTTTGTAGAACAAGTTCAAGTTCAATCGACTTCTTCACCATTTGCAGGTTAATGTATTCAAATTAACTTGTTATTTCGAAAAGACACAACTGCAGAATCTTGATTTATCCTTTTGAGTCACTGAACTTTGAAACACTGTATTATTTTCGTAAAAGTAATCCAATAGTTTCTGCAAATTTCACTGGAGCACAATGATGGGCACTTACAAGGAAATTCATTTCTGTACGCTTAGATGTTGATTTGACAAGATGTGTAGACTGATGTCATGCATCCTGCCAATTTGAGTATTTATAGCGGTTCCATTGACCACCTCCCAGCTTTTCTAATTTCACAATTGAATGCGATGTCGCAAAATCTATGAAATAAGTAAACACAAGATACATTACCTCGAGCTCACGAGTATGTCAAACAGGCGGGACGACGACGTAACGGCTGTCAACAAAGCTAATGTTCCATTTGTTCGGCACTGGCCCCAACGTAAGCACTAATGTTTGCGGTCTACACCTACGCCGACACCGCGACGGTCTATTGCCTGCGTACACGCCGTCACCGCTTCAGTACTCAACTGTCCTTAAAAATAACATTATGCTTTTACATCACTCGCTATAACAACAGATTTATTTAAATACAGATATTATACTCCCTTCATTGTCGATAATCACCCTCGTTAACTTCGTTGTTTTGAAATGAGTGACAATGGTAACGCTGCAAGACCGTGAGATGAAAGTAGTCGTTCTCTCTCTATATACTCGTCAGAGAAAATGTGTTAAAATATTATCTCTATTCTTACAAAATAAATACCGAACAATCATAAACATAGATGAACTATCATTGTAACCAAACATGTAACAGCGGGTGTAAAATTAAATCAATTACATTTTAGTATTACGATCAATACTAATACATTCAGCGTAACTCCTGGATCAAAAGTTCAAATATTGATATCGCAACTTGCATTATGGATCGATTTGAATAGCCTATCAGACGATAAAGGATTTCATATAGATATGTTATGTAAATCACTTTGCACACGTTTTAGTGAATAGAATGTCTTCAGTTGCTGCACAAATGTATTGTTTGCTGGGAGTGGCGTGCAATGTTTGTCTATGATAATTTTAGTTATTTGATATTTAAAGAACTCGGATAAAAAAAAATATTGTCTGTTTATTTATCAGAGGCAGTAAAGTTTATGATTAATTATCACTTTGGTATCTGTGTCTTAACTCAAGTTTTGACATTTAAATGCAGTAAAATAATTAAAATTTAAATTTCGAAAAAAGTTCAAAAATCTCTTAGGGTCGTATTCCAGAACTATACTCAATGCTCAAGTCAGGATTTGAGCAGACTTGAGTATGATTTCAAGCACTGGAACTACGACCCTAATGGCAAAGACTTGAGCATGATTTATACTGCTTTGAATCATACGCAAGTCAGGATTTGAGTATGGTTTAAAGCACTCGAAATCATACTCAAGTCCCTGCCATTAGGGTCGTATTTCCAGTGCTTGTGTTTCCAGTGCAATCCTGACTTGAGCATTGAGTAGAGTTCTAGAATACGACTCTTAATGTTACATATTAGATGGCACATTTAGTATAATTAACAACCATACCCTAACATACCCAAATAATCCTATAGTAACGACTTTAAAAGGAATATACTTTTCACCTCACTAGCTCGGAACAGCGTTCTTTCTCATTAGAAATCTGCGCGCAAAAGCGTTTCTGAAATTTGAAAAAACACAATGACACCTTCATTATTTTTGTTTTGTTTGTTTGATTTGTCGTATATATTTATGTAATATAAATCCATTGGTAAATTCTATTCCCATTATTATTAACATTAAGTGACAACGATAACTTATTTTGTTTATTAAAACTGATTTGTTATAAGTTCAACCTTTTTCTTTCATCTACCATTTTTAAAGTTGTGTGTTTCGCTCGGCAGCGGCAGCAAAGTTGTTTTACGTCTCGTACCTTGAAACCCTCGCTACGCTCAAGATTCTATTTTTGTGTATATATGAATCTTATGATCCTCCGCTTGCTCAGGTTTCAATACAAACACTCGCGTCAAACAACAACTTTGCAACCTTGCATAACAAGTAACTATTGTTAGCAATTTTCACTATATCGACTTTTATTTTACTTGTATACAATTTGTTATTTACATAAATGCAATAGTTAACCTTACGAAAACCATAATAATTTATTCATAATTATGGGTTTTCCTGCTTCAGCATGCGCATGCGTCAATAGGTAAGACAAATGATATTTAAATTTAAATCTGTAGAATTGATTATGCGATAACTGCAGCAAAATGTAGCTGATATACTATCTACCTCTGCCCTCCATTCCGCGAAGAATATTTTGCCTCTCAAATTACTCTTGCGCATCTGGCCAGAGCTCCTTAAACCGAGGAATTGTTCTTTGTCTGGAGTACTATTTCTCTGAGTATAATATTAATATATATAAAAACAATTGATTGTTTTGTGTGAAGAATTCCGTAATCTACGCAAATGGCAATATAAAAACTGGGATGATAGGTGTTTTAGACCTTTCTTAAACATACCGTGTTGTAGCAGTATATCAGCGGCGTCATAATACACTCTATTTTACTGACCATTTCATCTCTCACCAGTACTGTCTTTTACTAAACTCTACGATATATGCAGTTATATTTATTTATTAATATATTGAGATAAACATACGATTTAATTCTTTTTATTACGAGTATTACTATTATAAAACATAAAACGCTCGGAAATCAACTAAACCTGTAAGACAACGTACTTTACCTATTTCTGACGCCAAGCCGTAATGAGAGCATTACCGCGTTCCGGTTTTGAAGGGTAAGGGTCCTGGTGAAATAACAGGCACATGGGACTTGTCAAGTTAAGTCTCAGGGTGACGGGCGCAGTGAAAGTGCCCCTCAGATCTTTGCAATTTGAATCTCCGAGTGACACTGCAACTGCTATGTTGATTACCACTAGGCTCACGGCTTGGTCACTTGGTAACAAAAAAAATTGTGAAGACATAAAAATTTACTAACGTTGCGCATGTGTGGGTGTTAAATTAGGGAGAGCATAAGAAGCTAAGTTGAAGTACAGAATCGACACTAATAAGATGAGCTGTTTTAATAATTGAATTCTATATAATTCTGGCAGTTGTCGGCGGGTTCGACGCAATGGCAATTGATGGGCAGCGGCGGCGACCTTGACACGACGGGGAAAGTGAACCGACCACTTGTTAGCCAACTCCGATGGTTCTACCTCTAGCTCCTGATATGGACAGTAATTGTTCTTTAAATCACGAGTTTATAATGATTAAATTAAAAAAATAAATTAAAATAATAAAAAACTTGCAGCATATTTCACTACCCAATAAATCACATTTAGGGAACCACAGCCTACTAATTGTTTCTTGGATCCTTTTCAAAGTACCTCATACCTTTTAGAATACAGTTTCATCCGTGAAAAGTATAGGTTTAGCAAACCTAACCTTTATGACAATGATTTAAATTTTTTGTCAGCCAACAATCATTACTTCTTTGTCACTTGTCATCTGGGCATTGCTCACAATGTTTTACCTATACATATTATATTTGTTTTTTGAAAATATAAACTGTTCACTAGGCACTAATTTGAATATTTAATGAACGTAACTTATTTACCTTGTTACCATTTTTTGAATATTGTGCTGGTTATTTTTTTCGATGATGTCAACGGTGGCATTATAAATGGTAAACCTTTGCAGCAGGGAATATTTAAAAAAGTAAATTGACACCTCTCAAAATATTAAAAACGCTATTCTAACATTTTTGGTTTTTCTTCAAAATATTGGCGGCTTTTTTCATACGTTGTGTTGATATTTATAATGTACTACTTGACTTACTCATTTTAACATAGGCTACCATATCTATACATGTGGTATTATTTTACGACCTATCCACAAAATAGGCTTACGTATCGTAGGTTGAGCTTCAGGGCACTATTTAACTTTGTCGACTGCGTCTATTATTATTTTCCTATAACTAAAAAGTGTTACACAATATTAGATATTGCTAGTTTGACAAGTACACTGTTTCTATTATTACATTGATGTATTTGATCTCGTTTTATTTCTATAATAGTCTGTGTATGTCGTCTGTTGTTGTAGGTTCTTTACTAAGCGAATTCTATCGCAATTCACCGGTCAAATTGTGAGTAATACGCATGTCTCCCTTTAGAGGGAGCATGCCAAAAAAGTTTTGACGTTGGCTCCGCCCAAATTTGTGAAACAAATATATGCCTGAATTTCGCGTGACATGCGACAGGAGATGTTGAATTTTGCGCATTAAAAGTATCAAATTCGTTTTAGCGGAATAACTCTAAAACTAAAGGGATTTAAAAAAATCCGTAGTGACAGTTCTCGATCATACATAAATATAATTAATTATCTAATTTTTGTCCTAATAACCTGTAGCATTTCGAGGATGAATCGAAAAAATGTGAAAATTAGAGGTCATTTCGTGATTTATATCTATCGAGGAAACTTTATTGTTTTATATTTCTGATTAGTGTCTATGCTTAAATATATCGTGTAGTTACTCATACAATATTTTACTTTTAACTTTAAAGTGGATATACCCCTCTAAAATCAAATCGAAGATTAGGAATTTTTTCTCTGCTCCCTCTTAACTTGACATTAGTGGAAACATTGATTGTATTGATGGAGGTATAACTGCCTCGGTGGCCGAACGGTTAACATACTGGACTGCCACGCAGAGGTCCCGGGCCGAGAGAAATATTTGTATGGCCTACATTTATTTCTCTCTTGAATTTGTGGTTGTCTATGTGTGTGTCCATGGCACTCGCGATACAGGGTTTGCCTGCGATGCGCGATGCTATGAGTATGTGCAGTTTATTATTATTATAACACTATATAAAGAAGAATATCTCGTTTTAGAATATACACATTTATATACTCGTAAGATTTTATGAAATTTTTTATTGATATGTTTAAGCGTTAAGCATTGTAGTTAAAGTTTAAACTTTCAATAAAACGTGTCATTGAGAACATGAAAATCTTTCGTAACACAGTTTCAAAGCGTTTATATTTATTATCAATAACAATCTATACAAAAGTTACAATAACTTACGGCTATAATTTATTATATAACATTTTTTTTAATTTTCTTCATATTTTATATGATATCACACATTGCGCTATCTGTCGTCTATTGTTTCTTGAATAGTAAATTGTTTTTCTAATACAAGCTTCAGGTTACAGATTGTTTATAATTCTATAGTCCCTATCCCCGTGACTTGGTGGGGGCAATGTAGCTAGATGATCTAAAGCCCTCCTGATTTCCTCTGGAATTGGGGGTGGAGTAGGAAGGTGAGCCCCTTGAGGTTGAAAACCATTTTCGTCGGCTATGTATGACAATTGGATCAACTGTAAGCACAAAAAAATTAGGTCAGTGAACATATACGGAGGTGAAAGATTCTAAATAATACGAATATGTCACTTCTGACATTACATATATTCAAGTTTGTTCGTCCTTAATATAAGAACAAATTGAAATATAGTAATTTCAGTTCAGATTATTAAAAAAAACTAACCTCAAAACTCCGTGGAATTACACTATTTGCCAAGTTTTATTGAATCGGTTACCAGACAGTTTGTGAAGGATTTCATCCTCTAGGTTGCCACCCTTAGAGGTGGAATATTTTCTTCAAATTTAAATGGGATCACAACTGTGATACCCTCTTTCCAACAAAAAAAGAATCATCCAAATCGGTTCACAAAGCCGGATTCGCATAACATACATACAAAAAATAAAAGAAAAAACATACAGACGAATTGAGAACCTCCTCCTTTTTTCGAAGTTTACATTTAATAAGAGATATAAATGTTTCCTAACTTACACTAAAATTAATCGCTCTAAAAGTAGTCTTTGACCATTTTGACCTCCGGTCACTGCAATTCCTTGAATTTAAAATGTAACTTTAATAAAAACTACCTGTCCATCAGGGGCAGTGTACTGGTATTGTCCTTGAGCTGTTTGAGCTTCTTGTTCGGGAACGCCTTGGTTCTTCACGTATCCTTGCTCCTCAGCTGATATGCCGTTGCCTGTTTCATAGCTGTAATACAGGCCATAGAAAAACTAATATGATATTTAATATTATTAGACAGCCACAAGTATATTTTATAGAATGATTTGGAAAAAATATATTTTTTTATTACCATCAAGTGACGGAACGAACAAGTCGTGCGCCTGATGGTAAGCCACACGCCTGTCCATAACAGTTACAGTGCCACTCAGAGCTTTGCAAAAAATTGCAAAGATATATGAGGGCACTACCACTGCGCCCGTCACCCTGAGACATAAGTTAACAAGTCCCATGTGCCTGCCTGTAATTTCACCAGCACCCATACCCTTCAAAACCAAAACACAGTAATGCTGACATTACTGCTTGGCGGCAGAAATAGGTAAGGTGGCAGTACTTCCCTGGACGAACTCTTTCACGAGGAGCTCTACTGCTACTAAAAATATAAATATAGGTAAACGCTGTATGCTCCTGAACACAAGCAATTACGTAGCAAATTTATCTATTTATCTATCTACATTCGCCTGAGAAGAGACCCGTACCCAGAAGCGGGACGTATAAATGGGTTTAAGATGGTGATGACTTATTATTCTACTCAGTCGTAGGCTATAGATTTTGCCACGTTTCTAAACTGCACATTTGAACAGTATGAAAATGATATAAGGTACAATTCTCAACAAAGAATTTCAACAGATTTAATTTCTAGCCCCACCCAATGCAACCGTCGAAAGTAGCTGATAATACTATTATTTATATTGTTTATATTGAAAAATTTATATTGTTTTAATACTTGATCATGTTAATTGTCGAAGAATTTTACTTTTGACACAGTCTGTATATAAATTGGAAGGTCCTTGGAAATTCACTTTCGTTTAAAGACCTTATTACATTGTATAAGCATCATTGCGAACGATCTCGCATGGTCTTCGCAATGACCACCTACCATTTGTATCTCAACTGACTTAACTTTGCCATGACATTTTCATTTGCGTAAGTTAATACAATTTTAATATTTATGTACAATTATAATTAACAATGCAATACAACGCGCTAAATCATTGCGGTTTGCAATAAGAGTAAAATATTCGTGATGGTAAATATTAATCATATTCAGTTGTTAATTATTGTAATTTCATTGATGGATATATTAACATATCATCACATTCAGTTTTTTTAATATGACTTTGAAATATTAAAATAGAATATGTGCTGTACAAATTCCATATATTCTACCTATGTTCTTCACATGCATAGGCCTTAACAAAACACACAAGATAATTAAGCTTTTTTTTAAAGTAACAAGTTGTTAGCTGTAATGCAGATCATAGAAAAACTAACTTGATATTTTATATTATTAGACAGCCACAAGTATATTTTATAGAATGATTTGGTAAAAACATGTTTTTTTATTACCATCAAGTGACGGAACGATCAAGGCGTGCGCCTGATGATAAGCCACACGCCTCTCCATAACAGTTGCAGTACTACTCAGAGCTTTAAATCGCAAAGATCTTAGGGGCACAGTCACTACGCCCGTCACCCTGAGACGTAAGTTGACAAGTCCCATTTGCGTGTAATTTCACCAGCAGCCTTACCCTTCAAAACCGGAACACAGTAATGCTGACATTACTGCTTGGTGGCAGAATTAGGTAAGGTGGCAGTACTTCCCTGGACAAACCCTTTCACAAGGAACTCTACTACTACTAAGGGCATACTACAATAGCGAATAAATAACTTAACATACGCACCGAGTTTATATCGAATGAATGTAACTCATATCTTAAAAAACATAACTAAAACATATAAACGTTTACACGTGAGAACACGCTCGTCTCATCACGTCTTGTGGGCATTCCGCGTTTGTTTAGGGTACATATATAGGGTGTCCCACGGCTTTGCCACACGGAGGGAAAGTACGTTAAATACCGTAGACAGAAAATTTCACTGAAAGAAGACTTTGTTTTTATTTTAAAAACAATTCGAACTGCTTTCAAAGATTTTTGAATAATCGCCAGTCTGAACCGGGAATCTAACCCGCCAAATGTGAAAAAAACACCTGTAATTTTATTTTACTTATCGAAAGACTCAATGGTTTTCTGAAATGATAATGTCAGTTATTATAAGCGCAGCCGGTCAGAAAAAAAACTATTTATTCATTTTCCTGAACAAAATTTTAAATTTCACGTCAAATTTCATGGTCTTCCTTTTATTTGAGATGCTGTGTTATTTAGACGAAAACAATCCGTATGATTGAGGCTTTTGATCAGTATAGTAAAATTATAAGTGTGTTTTTCTCACACTTGGCAGGTTCGATTCCCGGTTCCGACAGGTGATTATTAAACAAATCTTTGAATGCAGTTCAAATTGTTTTTAAAATCAAAATGAAGTCTGCTTTCAGTAAAATTTTCTATCTACGATATTTAAGGTATTTTCCCTCCATGTGGCGTAGCCATGGGACCCAGTATAATTGAGTTAAGTGAGTTAAGTAAGGTACCAACTGTACTAACCTATATCTGTATGATCCGTCTGGATTGATTATCTGCTCTTGTCTGATAATAGGGATGGGCTCAGTGGTGTACTGCTGTTGTGCTTGATAGGGACCGAAGCCTACATCCGCCCAAGCACCGCTCACTATCAGGCATATAGTTAGCTGAAATCATTTTAAAAGTACACATGGAGTAATCCTAAGTAGTATTATGTGAGCTTATCTCATTATGTGTTTAAGTGTTATTCTCCTTTGAGAAAAAAATGTGATAGAATTAGCCTAGTGGACAGTCACTTGTTGTTGTTCTTGTCAATGAACAGACGACCTATTGAAAAACATAGAAGCTTATCCTGTCATATACAGTTACATAACATCTACTCTTCATGACATATGAAATAAACACAAAGAATTAAAGTACAGAAAAGGCGCTTGTTGCTTTTTCCAATAATACAAGGAAGGACAGAATTTGTATGAAGAGGCTGCATGGTGAAACCTTTACCTACCCAAATAAAAGGGTGAAAATTAAAAAAAATATATTTTCCTTCCAATATATCAATGCAGTTTGACTGAAATACTTAGAGGATAGAACTGAAATATGACGAGAAAAATAAAAAAAAACTAAATATCTTTTAGTAAATAAACAAAAAATCTTAAAATCTACACTTGAACGTAATTTTTCTGCAGTGCGACAGGAGTGGCAAATAAGCCAGGGAAGTATTGCCACCATACCCTATTTATGCCGCCAAGCAGTAATGTGAGCATTTATGCGTTCCGGTTTTGAAGGGTATGGGTGCTGTTGAAACTTCTGGCAAATGGGACATATCAACCTTATGCCTCATGGTAACGCGGGTAGTGTCAGTGCTCCTCAGATCTGCTATTTACAACTCTGAGTGGCACAGCAACTGTTGTGGACAGGCGTATCGTTTACCACAACATAATAAAAATAATACTCTGTATTTTAAACTTTAAAGTATAAAAAGGAGCTTTTGTAAACTTTCTTGGATGTCATCGAAACTACTTCTTACTGGTGGTAGAATCTGTGTACAACTCGCCTGACTAAGTCTGTTTATGGCACTGCTGTGTTTCAAATTTTTTATGATCCCAATGACAGAAGAAACAAGAACCGGCCGGATGATAAGAGACATGCCTGTCCAAAGCAGTTCCACTGCCACTGCGCCCGTCAAACTAAAACATAAGTTGACTGGTCCCATGTACCTGTAATTTCACCAGGACCCTTACCTTTAAAAACCGGAACGTAGTGCACACATTATTGCTTGGCGGCGGAAATAGGTAAAGTGGCAGTACTTCACTGGACGAAACCTTTTACTAGGAACTCTACTGTAACTAAACTGCCAGGTAGAGTCTGCGCTAGCCAGAAACAGTAGACTTATGCCCCATAGCCGCCAATGCATTTACGACATTAAGCATACTTCCTTAATGTCGCAAATGGCTATAAGCGGCGTTAACTATTTTCTACAAGGAAGAGTCGACTGTTTGCATGTTTTAATAAAATTTAAAAAATAGTTGTAGTATACAAAAACCGATAACACTTACAATGCACTTCATGATTGTATCAACTGCAAGTTGCAATGAGAATGATGCACTGTGGACCTACCCCAGGTATTTATACGAGTATTTTTGTGGCAGTTACGTGCTGTCACAGTTTCGGTGTCATACTTTATGGTATTTATGTTCTTTGCACGCAGGTCCTTGTTGCGAGATAAATCAAAGGTATTAAAATTCGATGGTATTACAGTTCGAATCTAGATCTCATGAAAAACTAGAAAATTAATTTTGATAACTATTTATAAATATTATAGGACCATCCCACCATTGGTTACCATCATTGGGACCTTATGGTCACGTCTGCAAAATGGCAACTTTCCAGGAGAGAGGTTTATAGATTCTAAGAACGACTTAGTCGAAAACGTTTTTATACGTAAATAAGAGAGTTATTTAATTTCACACATACATAATTTGTTTCATGTTGTTCGAGTTATTTTTTTAATATTTTATTTTAAAATAAAAAAAATATAATATAATAAAAAAACACTACAATTTTTTTTTTTAATATTTGATTTTGACGCGTGATCTGACATGGCTTTATTATTATACCATATCATTAATAGACTTGTTGAGTTTATATATAAATAAATTAACTTTCATAAAAAGCTAAATTAAATAGAGGATGGCGAAAAGAAATGTTTTAAAGAAAATGAATAGTCTCTATTTTTTTTTTTTTTTTTAATCATTATAATTATGTTTTAACTTTTGTTGTAAGTCCTGTATTTTAGTTTAAAGTCTATAATGTTCTATTTTAATTTTAAGATCATGTGTGTCTCGGTGCTTACGCAATAAAGTATTCTTATTCTTATTCTTATCTATAAAAATAGTTCCTTCACAAAACCTAAAGAACAACATTAAAGTTATTCAATACTCATGTGATATACAACAAACTCACTGTCTCGTACGAAAATTATATGAAATACATAAAAGTGAGATCCTTGAAACAACAGTTTACGAGCGTACATGTAAGCGCGGTGCTTTATTATCGTCGGAAATCTTTCTCACTGGCCATGAGAATACATTGATCGCACTCGTTGATGTCTTTTGTATGAAAAATCCAACTAATTTATAGGTAAATAAATTGCATGTAACAGTTGTATGATTTGTGTAGGATGAAATGTAGCATATATTACTTCTAATATTACATAAAAGCAACAAAGCAAATATTCCAGATTTTTTTTTGCTGTCTTTTTTTATCTGACATAATGAAATGTATGTAAGCGCTCGACTCGTTTGGTCCAAGCAAAAATAGTTGTTAATATTATTATCACGTAATAGAAACCAATCTTCTAGAATAATAAGATAAAATTATTTTGACTTATAAGTCAAAATAATAGCATTCTATAGAATGCGATTTTAAATCGTCTGAAAATAATAAAATTCCGGTTTACTTTAAATGCCTGTGCCTCCTACCACTCACGTTACGATTTGTTAACGGTTTACAGGAAAAGAGCAATATACCTAAATACTTTCATGTTAACTTGATTTATTGCAATATCATCACATTCATTTCATATATAAAGCGAAATGATGTTGTAATGTAAACGTGAAATCGATTCAGATTTATAAGGTGCTGCAATGCTGAAAATATTATCGAGAGCCCTTTTGAACCAGCCACTCAATCAGGAAGATGGTTTAAAAATTGCTGCAGAATATAAAAAATGCGAAGTTTACGAATCGTATACGCCTTTATACCTACTTTGCCACGTGATTATTTTAAACAATATGAATCTCAGTGCCATTCTGAGTGCCGTTGTGTAATAAAACTAAGACAAAATAAGAACTATATTGGTTTAGGCCACTATTCTTGAAAAGCTGCGAAATTTTAACAATCTTTGATATGCGTCAGATTCTAAAAAAAGCGTTCGTCATTATAATATTGTGTAAGAAGCAACAAAGCTCGACGTTGACCTTGTGGGGCGCGTCTCAGGCGGCGGATCTCAGAGCCAGTCGCAGTTGACTGTTGGTGACATACTTCAACAATCCTTTTTGGGTTACACAAAAAATAATCTTTAATATCTACTTCATTTTATCTGTACAATGTTTACGGTATTATTATTTTTTATTCGATAAGATTACGATAAAAAAAAAAGATATAAGTACGAGAAACATTTATGTTATGGTCTATCTTGAATACAACATGATATGAATCTTGCTGTACGGGCAACGGCACATCAGACTACACTTTTTTGTTCGAAAATCGCCTCCAGTGCAACGGAACAAGATACGTCAATATGTACCTTGATGTGCTGGCGTGTGTACTTCATTATAAAAAAAATGTAAACGAACTCCAGCCTATTTTACTCAAAAGATAATTAAATATATATTTTTTAATAAGTTATTGACATTACCTTTTCGAGGTTCATATTGTACAAAAATAATATAAAACTCGTTGACATTTTATGTCTGTAGGAGATTATAATATATACATTACTTTATTGGCAAAGATTCGTAAGTTACGCATTTATTACATCGTATGTCGTAGCCAGTTACTCTCATAGACATTACAATGGGAGATACCGCTTCAACCTACAAGAAACAATCACATAAAATGTGACTTTTCGGCAGTTAATCACGATGTAGGAATAGATAATTCCAAAGAATTTTGCTTTGTCTTTTCTGTCTAATATACTTAGTGGTATTGTTGTCATTGTCAACAGTTAACATGCACTTTAAATTGCAAAAGATAAGACGTACAGGACAGTGGTTGCTATCATTATATCTAATGAATGACAAACTAATTAGAAGCTCTGCAAACAGTTGTTAGATCTTTATTTAATTCTAACAAAGCTGTATTTGAACGCCGTATTTGCCTGACGTAAATTATATAAAAGTTAAATCTCCACTGTTGGTGTAAATCTTGTATACTTTTTCAACCTTTCTCAATTCCGACAAATTTCAGTTTTACACAATGATAATAATAATAATTGTCTAATGGTTTGACCTATGGCCTGTCAAGCAGAGGCTGTGGGTCGGAATCCGGGCTCGCACCTCCGACTTTCTCGGAATTTATTTGCGAAATTTAATTCGAAATTTACCATGAGCTTACGGTAAAGAAAAAAAATATCGTGATTTAACCTGCATGTCGAAGAATGTTTAGGAGCAACTCTCGAAAAACGTGTCAAGTCGCAAACCCGCATTGGGCTAGCGTAGTGGACTATGGCCTAAAACCTTGCCTGAGAGGAGATGCATACCCAACACATGATTGTGGAACACATAATTGGGTTGATGAAGACAATGACAATAATATAATTACAGAATCTTTATGTTGATGACACTTGGTGACTCTGAGTGACAATTCTTAATAAAATATTACCAGCCCTTCAATAGCTTATTGATTCAATAAAAAAAATTGAAGGCACTTATAAAATTCAAATTAACACGGAGCATATTTTACGATTAAGTGTACACAATTTGTAACAAAGTCGTAGACTCAAATAAATTGCTACCACATGTAACATGAGTTCGTTACAAAGTCCTCACTTAAAAATGTTGCATCAAAACGAATGCTCGCAGGGAGTAACGTCCTTAGGTAAACAAATTAAAGTGTTGGAAATGAAACTATTTTTCCGGATTTAAATGTTGTATATTTGTTTTTTTCAAATAAACCAACGTTTCGGGCCCTTTACAGGTCCCGTGGTCACGGTTGACTCCGTATTTTAAATCCGGATAACCTAACCTCCGGTTAAAAAACCGACCTCAAAAGTCAAAGGCGAGAGGGAAACCCGGAGGGGTTTTAGTGGGGACTCTCCCTCCAGACTGGAAGATTTCCCCCCCGTCAAAAAAAAAGGTACCTTCTTTCCAACAAAAAAAGTATCATTAATATAGGTTCACAAATGGCGGAGTTATCGCGTAACATACATACAAAAAAAACATAAAGACGAATAGAGAACCTCCTCCTTTTTTGAAGTCTGTTAAAAAATAGTTTCATTTTCTATGGGTAACAATCGCGAAAACCTAAGAACTCGATATAATAAAAGTGTCGTCAATTTAGTGTTTAGGCACAACTTTCCTCCTGTTTATTATTACTTAACAGCTTCCGTGGCCGAACGGAACGGAACGAACGGAACGAACGGAACGGAACGGAACGGTTACCAAGATGCTCTGCTACGCAGAGGTCCCAGATTCGATATTTGGGTCCAGAAAAATATTTGTATCACCTACTTTTATTTCTCTCGATTTTTGGTGTAATTTGTGATTGTCTATGCGTGTTTCCATGGCATGATACAGGGTTTGTTTAGTGCGGGTCTAGAAGTGTGTGCGTTATTTATTATTGTACGACATTGTATTTGAGTACTATAGTGGCTTGTACAAGTAACTTACCCCTTGAAGATTTTTTCGCTATAGGTACTTTTTTCTTATCTTCTCAGTACTATGTAATAATTGTTTTAAATAATACAGATTAAGAAAATTAAAGCACATAACAGTAAAGAGAATTAAAAATACGGACAAGAAGTACATCGTCTGCTTTGTACTTTAAAGCGAGCGAAGCATGCGTTCGACTACTTATCTCCAGGGGCCGCGGCGGCATCGCATTGATTAACGACCGCCCTACGGCTGTAGGACGCAACACTTACGTAATTATATGGCTCTTCTGAAATTCTTCTCCATGGCAACTATATGCGCATAAATAATTTTTACTTGTCTATGACTGCCTATTTTTTTACAGGTATTAAAAAAGTGATCATTGTCGTCCCACTTTTTATGACAAAATACATGACTTAGTAAGGTAGATTAACAAATTACATATTTTTTTATATCAAGTGACGGGACGAGCAAGTCGTACACCTGGTGGTAAGCGATGCGCCTATCCACTACACTTGCAGTGCCACTCAGAGCTTTAAATTGCAAAGAACTGAGGGGCACTGCCATTGCGCCCGTCACCCTGAGACATAAAGTTTACAAGTCCTATATGCATGTAGTTTCACCAGCAGCAGGTATATAGGTATACCCTTCAAAACCGAAAGGCAGTAATGCTCACTGTTTACTGTTTGGCGGCAGAAACAGGTTCCCTGGTTGAATTCTTTTACAATGAGCTCTACTGCTACTAAAATGTTGGTCATGTTGGTCTCGCCTAAGCTGAAGTCATATAGATATCAAAGATAGTATTAATATACTTATAATTAGTATTTTTCTAAGTTATATTCAGTACTTGTATGCATATTATAGAACAGATCAGGTAAATGGTAAAGTTCATTTAATTCACTATCTAAATGAATTGCAGTAGTCAATTACTATTTTGCGATAGCTTTATATTCATTGCCAGTAATTTATTGTACAAATTATATAACAAACGGCATCAATACAAATTACAACTAAAATTATAAAATAAAAGATACATTTACATCGTTGCCTTGTAGGTTATTGAATAACTTATGGAGATTCGTTCTTTTCTTCTTGTTTCGCGTCTTTGTTGTATCCGTAAGGGTGACGGTGGTAGGGGTTAAACTGATTATTGTATCTTGAATTATAAGGATATCTCGAGGCGTTAGGATATCTTGGGTCGTAACGATTAAAAGCGTTGTTGTTGAATGGTCTGTACACGTTGTTGAAGCGGTTATGATTGTTGTAAGGATCGTATCTATTAAATGGATCGATAACACTGTCTTTCCTGCCATCTAGGGGGGGTAGAGGCGAGAGCGCTTTGCCGTCCGCTGGTATGTGGATACCGGATGGGCGGAAACCTGCAATATAGCATTGGTACCATGTGAGCCCCACATTATGTTATAGTTGTGCGTGTAAATAGGGTCTCTATTTTTCATTCTTTCAATAATAAATGTCAACTTATAGCTGAAAATTGATTTTGATTGATCACTTTTTCTATATAAAATAAAATTATCCTTCTAATGCATTCTGAATTGTGTGAAACGTAAAAAAAATGCAATTAACTGTAAATATAACTTAAGTCAAGTAGCGAAGACAATTTGTAGCCGATAAACGGTATTCGATGACGTAATCTCAAAACAAGTATTCACGTAATTTTATGAAGAATAAAAGATACTTACCATTTTCGTCGGCGACGTAGCTAACTTGTATAGGCGTACCGTCCGGAGCCACGTACGCATAACTCCCTTGAACTACCTGGGAAGACGGATAATAATAATTCTATTTGCATTATACATTTTTATTTACATAAAATACTCATTATGAACTCGATTTAGTGTATAAAGGACATCACCTAATGAAGTGTAACAGTCTGTAAATTGATGTCATAGTACCTAAATTAAAACTATATAGTCGGCCTTTGTCGAAAGGGCGCTTATGACAAAATCTCGAAATCGAGAAAATAATGTTTAAACAAATGAACTTAGAGAAATATCTACTTTTCCCTTGCGGTAACTTCATACCTCATTCACATAGCAAAAAATAAAAATAGCGACAGATTTGCCATTTCTTACTGATTATGGCAGTATACATAACAATATTTTTGAAAAAGTCACGTGCGCCCTGTCAACTAACGGCGGCAGTATAGACGAACTGACGAAACGCAACGAACAAATGAAATAGAAAAGAGAAATTTCCATAGAAGTCGATGAACAGCTGTTTCAATTTAGTAACAGTGGAACTCCTTGTGAAAGATTTCATCCTGGGAAGTACTGTCACCGTACCTACTTCTGCGGCTAAGCATTGCGAGCATTACTGCGTTTGATTTTGGAGGGTAAGGATGTTAGTGTATGGTTGCCATTTAAAGCTCTGAGTGCCACTACAACTGTTATCGATAGACGTGTCGCTTAATACCAGGCACACATCTTGTTCGTGACGTCAATTAATACCATAAGAAAAAAAGTTAAAAAAAGAAACATTTTTCGACAATCGTATAATAAAGATTGTTTCTTTTACTTTTCTTGCCACGTGGCATTCCTGCTCTGTGATCTCACGCTTTTTTTTTCAAAATAACACTATATCGAGTAACATTTGCACCTGGATTGAGTATTTCTCAAAAGTTAAGATGAAATTAATTAATTAATGCTGTTATTTAGAAAAGATACTAAGGATAACTTAGTGGAAGGTTTTATTTCTAATAATAAAAAGAGAATTGACTGATTAACCTCGTACAAACTAAACAACCTGTACCTCTACCACGAGTTTACTGTGACAGTTGTCGCTAGCGACTCGTAAATTACTTCACAATTGTATATGGCAAATATTACAGCGCCTCTAGCGGTCACAAGAAGGAACAAGATTTTGTATAGAAACATTTTATGCTGTCGCTAACGATAACTGTCACTGTAGTCTCACGGTAGAGGCACAGATGATAGTTTTCTAAACAACTATGAGTACGACAGATTATATTATTTAATCTATAAAGGTTTACTTTAATTAATATTGGTTTTTAAAGTTAACAGGTTTGATTGGGAATCTCTAATCAATATAAGGAGCTGATTTTCGTGTGATAAAGAAAATGTCACTGTAGAGAAATGGCGAACAGATTCTAGGACATTATTTCAAAATCGAAAATAGCGAAAGTAATGGCGGATGTCGATCTTAAACCGCTTTCCGTGTTATCTTAATCTCATGACTGACATACATAAATCAACCCTCAACACCTATATACTCATCCAGTCCTTAGGGTTGGACATGCAACGAACGATGTAGTAGAGATTGGTATAATGCACGGGAAATATGATGGCGAAATATTGACATATGAGTGTATATCTATCTTGACTTTTAACAATAACATCATTTTTACATTGAAATTAAAAAAGTAATTGTTCATAAAAAGTAGTTGTGCATTCCGTTGTTCCAACCAATGTAGCTTTAAAACCTCTTCCATTGTGTTTTGAGTGCAGTCATTAAAACGAAATATTTGGTAATATAAATATTTCATTCAGTCATTTTAGTTTACAAATCTTATTTTCAGTATCAATATAATCTTGAACAATTAAGGTTTAACCAACCAGTCACAAGTCTGACACAAAGTCCTGGCAGACCGGTATAGTGTATCAGTGAAACGTGCATAATGTAGTTAAAGTGTAAACCGAATAAATTTTCAGTACCAATATATTCTTTTTACAATTAAGATTTAATAATTTTTCTGCTGTTTCTATAAAATTTCTATAGTAAGTTATAATTTGAAATATGAGAAAAAAATTACAGCGTACGAAAATTGACCGTCTGGATTCGATCATTAACTCAATAAAAATATATTGATATTCATCAAATAACGGCATCGTTAAGACTATGGTAATGAATGTCATAATCGGTTAATTTTTATCGGCACCCTTACGACACTTAACCTTACTATTACACGACAAAAGCGAACAGCGATTTTTAAAACTTACTTTCAAAGGTGATGAAGGATAATACATATACAATTATTGTGTAAATGCCTGATTTGACTCATTCTGATTTAGTGCTAATACTTATTAATATAATCTGCATTTAATTAAAACTAAATTTTCAAAACAAGGTTTTGTTCTTCAATAGAATATTCTATCTTCCAAATCTACTGAATCTATCTACTTAAAGAATACAGACAGGTGTTTTCGGATTGTTTTCTGACAGGTGTTGATAAGATAGGCAAAATATAGAAACCAACCTGCGTTCCTTGGGGTTCGCCAGCGTTGTCGATGTAGGCATCCTTCAAGTATCCGTTCTCTTGGACCTGCTTGCCGTCGGCCGTCGAGAAACTGGAAATATGCAACTGGTCAAGGTGTACTGATTACATTTCCTTGTGATTGATGAGTAAGTAAGCATAAATATGTAATAGTGGTATATAAGTTTTTATTTATATTAAAAGATGTCTTTTATATTACTCGTACAAATATAAATCAGTATTTACACTTGTACGAGTTATACGTACGAGTATAGTTATTAATATAGATCTAATGTGTATCAAAACCAAAGTCATCAAAAACCTATACATACACTTTTTACTTATTTATTTCCACTTATATGTATTCCGTATTCCTCAATCTGGTAGATTTCTTTAAACATAATTATTAGAAAAAATACTTTTCGACATAAGATAGGTAATGTAAATATAATATAGTATTTGAAAGTATATAAGTAGAACATTTTCTCGAAGGCTGTACCCTGGGGCATTGTGACCAGAAGGCTGGCAACGTTTCCTCTCAGAATGTCTCAACTTTGGCGGAAATAACTGCCAGCTTTGTGGTTACCGGAGGTTTCAACGTGGCGATCTGATAGCTCGTTTGCTAGAAGTTTCGCCTGTGGCCCCCGGGGACCCAAAGTTAACAACCGCAAAAGGCACAAAGCTGTAGCACTGAGCAAGGTTGGTATTTGGTAAGGTATAGGTATTTGCGGCTTTTGCATTTTTCGGCCACTCTGGCGATAGAGCCTGCGCCATCCTCGCTTGTAAGGACATGGGATGGGGCTACAGTATCCACATAGACTGCGTCGCACATAAGCTGCTTCGTAGCTACTAAGGATTAATAAGATTCATTTTAATTTTAAAATTGACACAATACTACAAACTGAACTACAAAGTTACCTGTACGAATAAGTGCCATCTCCAAGTTGTTCACTCGAGTAAGACAAAATAGGTACAGCAGGTCCAGTAGTAGGATTATAGTATGGGTTATTAAAGCCAGGACTAAGTGATCTAGAATTAGGGCCAAATGGGAAGGCTGTCGGAGTAAGAGAAGGTATAGTCGTGGGGAGAGTCGAGGGAAAAGTGGAAGGCGTAGGACGTGAAAAAGGAGTTGGTAATGGAGTGGAACCATAGGGAGCCTGAGCGTTTGCCAGAGTCATGTAGACCAGCACGCAGGTGAATATGCGTAACATCTGAAATTGGAACAATAAATAGTAAACAAATGAGGGTGCAAGGAAAAGAATAGCAATTTGTGAAACGCATAAAACGATATTAAAATATGACTACAGGTAAAGACAAAACATGCAATAAGAAATAGATTTGATTAAAAGGTATGAAAGTGCTAGAAAAATTATTGATATCGAGAACCTAGGTCTAGTGAAGAAGAATAGAGAAGGACTGCCACTGCGCCCGTCACCCTGAGACAGTAAGCATCCCTGAGACATAAGTTGACAAGTCCCATGTGCCTGTAATTTCACCAGCACCCTTACTCTGCAAAACTAGAACACAGTAATGCCAACATTACTGATTGGCGGCAGAAATAGGTAAGGTGACAGTACTTCCCTGGACGAACTCTTTCACAAGAAGCTCTACTGCTACTATTTGCGTTTCTAGGTAGTCTAATAACAAGAGATAATAAGTGTAAAGGAAAGTGCAAACCAGAATTCAGATAATGGAGCTCTGCACGCCTTTATGAGTAACCAAATGAGTAACAAAAGTTATCAGGGTGTCCTAGTCACAACTCTAATAAGCTCTAAATACCGGGAGGTAAAAAGTGCAAAATTAAGGAAAATACTTTAGAAATGAGAGTGTTGCCTAATACTAGGTGTATAGCTAATCGTACCTTTTGTTTAATGAAATCGGCTAACGGAAAATGGGTGAAATGGTTTCGTCCCCTAATTTGCGACTCTAAAAGGTGGAATATTATCTTCAAATTTGACCACTGGAGTTAAGAATTATCGAAATCAGTTACAAATGTCGGAGTAATCACGCTACATACACACATCAAAATACAGTACGAGTACGAATAGAGAACCTCATCCTTTTTTTTTCAGTCGATTAAAAGACAGATGCCATGCAATATGTCAGGAACGTGAAGGTTTATAGTATCTACTTGAACCATTGGGATCCAGGTGTGATACATGTATGGTTGATTTATAAGTAATAAATACTATGAGAGCTATGATCTCAAATCAAAGCACCGTAATTACAATATGATCGTTAGACACAAGAAATCATTGTTAAACGTAGTCATTTGTTTATCTAGAGTACTCATTATGGCTATGTTTACATGTCGTTCATATGTTTTCTGAAAATTAATAATATAAATTATTAATTTTCAGAAAATAATTGCGAAAATCTTAGACGAAAATACGATAGATGAGCACAATAAGATGTCAAATGCAAAACAAGAAACAAAATTATTTATTTATAGACTGCATTAATAATTATCTTATTGTAATATTCCGTAATTGCACCGATGGAAAAGGTTATTTAAGCATTTATATTAAAAATTATTAATAATTATTAATTTTTTTTAATAGTTAATTATGCTCGGTCCCTCAAGTACTATGATTTCATTTTTTAATTATCTCCGATTTTTTAATTATCATACAAGTTACACGAACAACAAAGCACACACTTCAAACTACTCAATACTTTTGGGCGCTTAAAACTTTTTGTTACCTTAATTAATTTAGACAAATCCAACTGCTCGCGGAGTTCTCAAAATGCTACTGTTTAGCGTGGGATCCAAATATTCCATTTATACGTACCAGGGTTGCTTTGTGCTGATATTTTTTGTTATGCCATCGCTCGAACGTGAGGTTCACACACGTCTCTTCTACCACCGGCAGCTATTAACCGAGTTATGCTTATAACTATTCAGTACAGTTTGTAGAACACGAACACGGTGAGTTGAACCATTTAGTAATTTCAATCCGAAATCGCTGTAAATGTTACGAGGTACACGTTATTCTATTATCCACTCATAAGTTGCACAAATACAACATAGTGGTCTATTAACTAGTTACAATTTTCAGATTACGAAAATGTACACACATAGTTTAGATAAATATATCAAAAGACGTTAAGGCTATTTTACCTTATTTCTATAGTACCTATTCAAACCGATTCGCCTGATCGGAAGTAAAGCAACCGATGTCTCTAGTAATTAGCAATAACAATAATAATAATTTATGGTATTTATTACAACTAAACAGATTTTGTACAACAATGTCTAAGGTGGTGATACTTCCACCTCTGAACATACGTAGATATCATTAAAATCACAAGTTTGAACACATAATTGATGCCAGTAAAAAAAGAAGGACTATTGTACAAGACCCTCACGGGCACGTGATATAGAATCCTAGCAGTAAAAGGAATTGTAAGGCACAAATTAATACCATTCGTAAACAGGAAGTCTACCACGAAGTTAGCAAAACGAAGCAACGATAGATGTTTTAACTTCGTATCGGAAAGTTCATACTCCAAAATGCTTCAGGTTTGATATCGGTCATTATACCCGTATTTAGTTATCGCGGTACATATCGTTGGAGTATCGTTTGCCGCAAGATGTTGAGAATTTTACTTATTAAGGAGGATTTATGAGAGGAAAAACACGAAGACAAAGTAGAGAGGCGATGATCAAGATCTAACAATGTGCGGAGGACATTAAGCGATGGGGTAGATAAGCAATTATCGGTTTACGACAAGGTTATTAGAAAATCTATTTACAAAAGTGATTGGAGAAGAAGGGCATCGGGACCTCATGGGCAAAGGGTTTCGACTACAAAGACTGTCAGTAGATAGTCGAAGCTGAGGCCCTGTCCCGATGTCCCGAAGATACGAGGGGAAAGCGTGTGGCCAGTGGCCATGCATGTCCTCACCTGGACGCCACTTCCAGGCGTACTCGGTCTATTGGAGTGCAGTGATTCATTAAGTCATTTAAAGTCTTTTTGTACAGGTACGTATTTCTCTTTTTTCTTTCCACCAGCTCAGCTGCGGAGGTAGCCCCGTGATATCCCCATCTGGGCCCGTCTCATACTCCAAGAGATGAGAGTCATTCCGCTCGAGCGTTTGCCATCAGTTCACGACATGCCGCTTGGCTCGAGTATAGTGGACACATTAACCAAACGTTAGCTAAGCCCTGACGGACGATGTCATTAACGGTTGCATGCCGGAAGATACGAAGGGATAGCGTGTAGCCAGTGGCAATGCAGATTCCCGCCTAGATGCCACATCCGAACGTACTCGGGATATTGGGGTGCAGTGATTCATTAAAGTCATTTTGCACAGTACATTATCCCAGCTCCTTTGAATTTTGTGGTCGGGCGGAGAATTGGGGTAAGACTGGTTCAAAGCGTTTCTGGACGCAATTAACCACGTCACTTGGCAGTTTGTTGGCCTACTAAGAGCTTACTAAGTTGGCCGTGTTGTCGATTGAAAAAAAAAGACCGGAAGAGCTATGGCGAATATGCTCCCGATGTCTAAACCACCGTATCTGATCGGCAAGGTAGCTTGCGTTCAGGCTTTGTAGGTGAGATGGACGTTGAGGATGGATTGAAGAAGAGCTTTTAGGTCGGTATCTATTGACATCAACTAATTGTAGAACTTCCAAGCCGGAAAGCATTGAAGTACGTATTTAGTTTATTGAATATCATGATGTTTTACTACCATTGAATAAAATAATGAAGTTATTTTATTGAAATTAAAATAATGGAGTTATTTTATTGAAATTAAAATGATGAAGTTATTTTATTGAAATTAAAATAATGAAGTTATTTTATTCAAATTCGTAGGCAATTATGGCATTTGAAAACACTAAAGAATACACAACAATTACGTTAACTATCATGTTAACGTTAAAATTGCGATCAATTTTCCATGTGTAACTATAGATTTGTTCGAGTACGTACAATTGTCTAATCCTCTCCCTATTAAGTTAGTTTTGTAACCGACTATAACTTGTCAGCTACATCTGCATTTACAACGGCAAACCATTTATGAACAATCATTATTAATAATAGTGATTGCTTATAATAAATATCATTAACAACAATTGCAAGCAAAGCCAAATTAAAAATGAATGCGTATGCCCACGCCCGCAGTCATTCATTAAAAAACAGAATAAATTAAAAAAGATATGTATCTCTTTGTAAATTAGTCGAAGCAATTTTATTATTCGTCTTTTATTAAATATTACGAATGCAATACGCAAGTAGCCTTTTGTACACGATCTAATGAGAGACATAATATATAATAATGCAAGAATTAAGAATTGCATTATTACAAGTAGTCAGATAATAGGATCTTTTTTATGATATCAAGTAACGGGACGGAACAAGACATGCGCCTGGTAGTAGACACGCCTATCCATAACAGTTGGCGCCAGTAAAAGCTTTAAATCGCAAAGATTTGAGAGTCGCTGCCACGGCACCCGTCACCTTGAGACATAAAATTGACAAGTTTCAGGTGCCTGTAGTTTCACCAGGAACATACCGCCACGACATACCCTTCAAAACCGGAAAGCAGTAATACTCACACAATACCTCCCCGGGCGAACTCTTTCACAAGAAACTTTTACTGCTACTAACAATGATGCATGCTTGTGTACCTATAATTTAGTAGTTTACTAACATGGAACGCACTCTTGTATATAAAAAATCCCGCTACATCGAGATTATTAAAATATATTATTAATTTATACATTAATTAATAAGTATAAAACGTTATTTTTTATTTTATGTTACATTTCAATTAACTTTTATCATACAAGGTGTAAACGTTAAATGTGCCCAGTGGATTATTTCATAAATATAAGGGATATCAAAAAACTTCAAACTGATATCGAAAGTACGTAACCTAATGAGTAAATCGACATCAATAACTTTTGCAAAACAAAATTATAAATATCCAAAATGTTTACATTAAACGGTGCCATACTTTAATAACGACATTAGTAGTGAGGCTTTAGTTTTCCTACTGTAAGAAGTAACAATAAGTTAACAGATGGTAAAATTGATACAAATAAAGTAATAAAACTATATTTTAATTGAATAAAAACATGATGACATAGTCAATTATTTGGTCAAGTATGAGTTGTCCATAAAAATGAATAAATTTAAAAAACATTTTTTAGTGCTGATCGACTCAATTATACACCGTTCAGGTAACAAGTCCAGGGGAATTCCACTCCATGATCGTTCCCCATATAAATGTGGAAGCAAAACGTTTCGTGCGAATCCTAATCGAACCCTCGCCTACGTCCAAACTCCCGATGATGGAACAGGGAAGGCGGAATTCGAATAGTTTGCCTTTGTATTAAGAAGCAACCGCTCTTTCACTGAGCTACTCCGGTTCTGAACACCTACATCGCTTAAGAATGAATGAATAATCAAAAAATAATTAACTTCATTCACACGTGGAGTATGTTGAAATGCTCTTGAGTACAGTTTACAATTGAAACATAAATATAATTACGAATACTACTTAAAGATAATATTCAGCAACAATTGCTGGTATTACGAATTTTGTACAATTTACGATGGCACCAATCTCAAAATAATGTACATTGAGTTGAGCATTTTCTCGTTTCAAATTTTCCATCCTAAATTTCGTAGTAATGGATGGTAACACATCCCTATGGGAATAATGTAGTTAAATTTATACCCCATACAACCAGT